CAAAAGTTTTCAATTTTGCTTGTTTTTGAATATAGACGCACACATAAAAACGCATGCACAAACATACGTAAAAATGATTGAACTCCCCCCCCCCCCCTTCGAAAAAATATCTGTAGCTAAGAACCTGCGTCCTGAAACCTTGCACACATGTGCAGTGCGTACGTAATGAGAGTGCATGCAAAACTTGAAGGCTAACCAAACGAAGCTGCGAGCACGTTGGACTGAACATGCCGTGAAACATATATTCAAGGTAGTCCGTATACGGTATGACTGTACGCCAGTACCACGGTGTCCCGCTTTGACTATATGTTACTATCGTGACCGAAACTCGCATTATATGACGAGTTTACCTAGGTCTGTAACTACGATGCTTAGTGCACGTCTTTCTGAGGAGAATAGACAAGTAATGTTGCATGATTTCAAAATCTTTGACGCTAATTAGGTGTAGGGCTACGCAGTGGTTTTATGATCAGGGAAAACGTGGGCGTGTGTGTCTTACACTCGGCACAACTACTGCCAGGCAACCGCAACGAGGTTAAAACAGTCGCCGGGAGAACTATACATATATAATGCTATAGTTTGGATGCATCGTCCGCTACCGGCTGGTGCGGCACTTCGAATCGTCACGAAGCAGGCTGTTACGCGATGAGTGCCGCACGCGGAGCTCACTGTGACTGCGCGAAATTGGCCGCAGAAACACGCCTTCAATGCTCCCTTTAAAATTGAACCTTTGGGTACACCAATATCAACACACGTGTTTTAATGAAGAATAAATGGGCATTGAAGAGAAAAATACAGCTTGTTTCTATAGCTCGTTAAAGGGGCGCTGCACCTCAAATTGCTCACGTTAGTTTCATCGGCTGTTTGCTTGTTATGAGTCTGGATGATTGCTGTAAAGCACCAGTGAAAGCTCCTAAAGTAAAGTGTTGGATATTTTGTTTTTGAAGTGGGTTTCCGAGGTGTCTGCGTCGTACATCAACAATTTCTACTGTTGAAAGTGAAGTACATGCTGGGCATACGAGATAGGCATTTTGATTGGTTGGAGATAAAGAATGTACTGCGAACGCTTGCGATTTACTGAGTGTGAGGAACTGAATAATTTTAACACTCGTTAGAGCTGCGAAAAAAAAACAAAACGCCAGTCTGTGCCTCAAGACTTCAGTTTCTGGGTAACTGACGCAGATGGCGCTGTCGAACAAACTTCGCGAAGGAAAAAAAAAAAGCATTCATTATTACGCCGAACTATGTGTTTTTGCGAGAAGAAAAAAAAAACAATTCATTCTTCTATGGCACACCACTAACTTTCCTGGTACTCATCGTTTCTGATGCCTGTTTTTACCTCTCATTTGTCAGCATAGAGTCGTTTGCAAACTTGTGCGGCCCCGAAGCCATAGAACGTTCGGCGATCGCTTGCATCCAGAAGCCCTCCCTGTGCTTGCTGCACGGTTACGGTAAAGCTGTAGGTGTAAGGCACGTTTAGTTAGAAACCAGGACAAAACAGAGTGACGTCAATGGGTGAGCAAAATACGCAAGAGCACGCACATTTCATTCGTTTTTTTTTCCCCTTTGAAATTCTGCTTTTCTTCCACATTTATTCTGAGTTTGTAAGTTGAATAGCTTTTGTTTGCATGCGTCTATCTTCAAAACTCTTTTTGTACTCATCTCATGTGAAACAAGGCAAGCGTTGCAGTACAAATTTCGGCGGAAAGAGTGCAAGGCAAATTTTCAGAACACACTGAAACAATAACGAACGGGGGGGGGGGGGAGGGAAATCAGGGGTTCGATTTTTGTGTTTCAATCGTATGAACACTGCAGAAAACTTTTGATTTAAACATAGAAATCAAAGTACCGCGCAAGTGAAAGTGGACCAAAGTCTGCCTCAGACGGGATGCGAAGCCGCGTCTTCAAATAATACGCACCAGTTAAGTTGTGATGCGGTGCAGTTTTATCGTCCACAATATTATTCCCACTGGAAATAACCGTAATAGTTTAATTAAGCGAGTGCCTCCGCTAGCAGCATCCCATTTCCTATAGCATCCTATAACATCCCATTTCTCGCTATCCCGCTGCAGGATAGGGAAAGCGGTGGAATGCGCAAATTATCGAACAGTTAACATGTCATGTTAGTAAATTACTCGTCAAAGTATTGCGGAAAATTCCAGTCTACAAAGAAAAAAGGAAATAGATACGGATGAAGAAAGTTTAAGAGGGTGCGGCGTGAGAGACCACACCGCATTTTGAGATGGTTGACGGAAACGTAAATACCAAAAACTCTTGTAATCTCTTATCAAAAGCAAGGCTACTGACTCCGCTGCACCATCCGGGCCTACCTTAGGAAATTGGGTATATTACCGAATATCTTACATTGATGCTAAGGATAAGAAGCGCTCGTTAAGTGAATAGTCAATAGCAGAGCCTGGCTCAACGCTCAATATTGCGCCATTCAAGGTTGTATCCTTTACCTATTTGCCTTATGGACCGAAAATATACTCAGAAAACGCGACCTCGGAAACTGGGATATTGATGTAAAACTGGTGGAACATAGCTAAGTGGTTTACAATATGCGGCGGTGGCTTTGATAAAGGAACGATGAAGCGAAGGGGACGAGGAATGCCCACAAAAAACAACTCGAAGCAGAAGAATGTGGCAACCCACGTCTTCGCATTATGCTGCTGTCAACAGAGACGCCGCAGCGCCGGAGCGGATTTTTTTGGCTCGAACTTGCCCACACCTGAAATGTTCATGCAAGCTGACGTCAGCGGCAGAGAGTACATGTCCCGTATGCGCCAACATGGCCACGACTGCATGATGGCACTGACGAAAAGAAAAAAAACTACCAATGTGTAGAGTACACAAATATTGAGGATATTGGATGGAAAATGGGTGCATCGATTATTGTGACCTACGTGATTATGTCCAACGGAAAGAAATCGAGTACCTCGGTCGCTGCCCTCTACATATATATATATATATATATATAATCTTATTCCTAGCTAATTTGATACCCCTTTTCATCTTAACATTATATCTATACCAGTTTTCCCTTTAATGGGCAACTTGTGCCGAAAAACAATTTGCCGAGATAGCCGATACATTCTTGTTTAACGTATACCTCAACACCCGGCACATCGCAACTCTTTAGATCCCTGCATGCCCAGCTTCCTAGACATTCCACGATCGACATTTGATACGCGGCTCTACGCCAGGCAATGAGCGAGTCCGAATATATATACGGTTAAAGACGGTGCCCTGACTTGACCCGGCCCGCGGCTGCGTAGAAGGACGCAGCTTCGGGCAGGGTCAATACCATGGCTGCTGAGCTAGTGCTGGAAACCTAGTGCTTTACTACGTATATGTTACATATGTGCGTTACTGCTATAGGTGCGTTACATTTGCGCCCCACAATGTTGAAATTGTAACGCGCCCTTTCGTAACCTTTGTACATGTATTCCATTTAGCTTCTTTATTTTTGCTCAACGCACATTCATTGCAATCATAAGAATAATTGTATTTTTCAAGGACCTTCCAAGTCTATACCGCAGATGGTTCACCGATTTTTCGGGCTGCAAGAAATGACGACTTTGCAATTCAGTCGACTGCACCAAGAATCTCGGACGCACACACCTACAGGTCGGCTTCATTTTTGTACCAGCACCTTGAGAATGGGAAATAAGGCCTCAAATGTTTCCTGACACTGCGAAGTACTGGCACGATTTTTTCACGGTACTCGATGCCGTCAGCCTAAAGCAAGGTTGTCATTGGCGGCTGATTTGCGCCAAATTGGCTACTTTACGACCCCGTCTGGTGGCGAAGATGTCAGACTGGCGCATTGGCTACTTTCTGGCTACTTTTGAAGTTCTGTGTTCGATCATTAAAACATCTAATCTTTCTTATTAGTCAAAAAAAATGCACGCATTCTAAGGTTTTCGGTCGTATCAGCCGATGTACGCGGCGTCCTTCTCCCAAATGCAGCAGGCTATTGAGCATCAAGGCAGCCCAAAGCAACATGCAGCGTGTTTTCAAATAAGGAGTGGCGAAGTTGCGTAACGCATAATTGCCAAGCTGCCCTCTATGGATGCTCACGCTACACGCAAGTACCTAAGTTGATGCACACACATGGTGCGCTGTGAACTCTACAAAAACAGAGGTCCGGAACAAAATTGAGCTGAGCTGTATGTCCAACCAGATTACACTATCTGTTGAACTGGTATTATGTACACTCTGCTAATCAAGATCTGTGTGGCGTCAAAAAAAGTATCCAGTGTTTATTTCCCTCCTTGCTTTTTGGCTTGAATTTTTTCAGTATCACTCCGTATCAGCTGGAACTAACTGTATGTATTTTACATAACTACATACCAGTGTAAAACTTTATTATGAAAAATTCAATTATTAGCAATTCATCGCTGGGTTGAAGACCAAATGAAAGGGGAAAAATCTTTACATGATCTTATTTCTATTTTCTTGTTTATCGGTTTAATTAATTATCGTAGAAGACAAACATTTCCTCACGTTATCGCTTCTGTTCTATTTGGCTACAAATTTGGCAATATAATTAGATGGCGCAACACCTTTGGCTACTTTTGGCGGGAATTATGACTCCTTTTAAAATCCACCGAACGGCAACTCTGGCCTGGGCGATAGTTATAGCGCGAGAACAGAACGATGACAAAGAGACAAGAAGCACACAAAGGACACGAGCTGTCCTTCGTGTCTCCTTGTCGTCGTTCTGTTCTCGCGCTACAACCATCGTCGTGTCATACTAACTAGCCCAAGCTCCCACACATCTGGCCTGGAGTTCACTTTAGCAGGATCTGACATCACATTGAACGGAAGAAGTGTTACGTGGCGAATGAACGTAAGGTATGGAATAAAAGAACAACTTGCTGAACATGGGAGAGGCCTTTGTGTCCTGCAGTGGACGTAGTCAGGCTGCTGCTGCTGCTGATGATGATGATGATGATGATGGAATAAAAGCCACGCAAGCAACACAGGGTACGCACTATTCGGTGACAAGGACGACCTCCCGCGGCTTCTCGTAGGCGGCCAGCAGCATCAGGAGTCGCGGATGTCCCCGGAGCAGGTTCAAGATGGCCAGCTCGTGACGCATCCTGTCCCGCTCGGCGGCGCGCGTGCAGCGAACCATCTTGGCCGCCGCGTCGGTGCCGTCCGCGAGTCGCGTGCACCGGTGTACGACGCCGAAGCGACCCCTGCGCTCCACAGAAGACAACGCGAAAGGCACTCGGTTTGGTCAACTCTGGACTCTTGCAGGCGTGCACATCTTTCGCGTGTTGCCACTCTGCCTTCTTCCTCTATGCTTATATTTCACATATGGCGAATACCATTGAGAGAACAAGAGAGGCAGGGCACTCAGTAGTGGGGGGCAGAACACCAAGAGCAGGACCACTCAACCTGCCACTGAAATGCGCCGCGCTCCTGGGGGCAGGTGAGAAGGTCACGAGTAGGGAGACCATGCGACTGAAATATTCCAAGCCCCGGCATATTCTTTGTGGGGCTGCAGCAAAATACGCGTGAAATCAGTCAGCCACATATTCTGCATTATCTTATTACCTAGTGCGCTTGTGCGATGACTCATTCGGCAAACGTCCAGCTCTCATCGTAGCCATCCGTGCAAAACAGCGGTGTCAAACTACACATGGTTGCTCCCATTGCCGACGCGCTCGCCAGGTAAAGAAAAATACGAAAGCTGTGACGTTCAAGGACCACGTGACTCGTCGTACTGCGCCTACTCCGCTTTTCAGGCGAGAGCACGGCAAACTGCTCCTGGCTGCTCTCGGCGCAGCAAAAGCACTCTCGCTCTATACAATCGATGACAGTGCTCCCGCACCTGTTCGAACCACTGAAACACGCCGGCTCTGAAGAGAGCACTTTAAGCGTGCTTTTGAGTTCTCCTACTTTCCCAATGGTATTCGCCAATAGAGCGGTGACCAGAAGGGACGTCTTCCCAACGGCATAGTGTCCTCTAGTGTCGGCGCCGCCATTTATCGCTTCGTGATTACCACTCGAGTAAAAAGGTATAGGTAGACACTACGCAAAAGCTGTACACAGCTTAATGTCGATAACGGCACCAAACCAATGTCGGTCGGCCTGACAACGGGCTTGGTGCGCAAAGAAACGCCCGTGCCGATGCCGAGAAACACATGCCGCCAGAAAACGCAATTATATCTCCGACCTAAAGTAAGGGCTAATGCTGTGTCTAAACGTGTCGCTGATACAGGGGCCACTCGTTTGTGAAGCCCTGAAAAGAACTCAGATTTGCGTATGCAAATCAGTGTTCGCAAAGATTCTGTACATTTTGTATAAAATGTCTCTAAACCAATTTTACTGCTGAAGCAACGCATTAGAGAATAAACAGTCGTAGCAACACATAATAATCATCAATCAATCAATCAAATTTATTTTACGTGCCCTGGAAGACCCATGAGGTTATTCCAGGGCACGTAAAATGCAGGCACACGCAAAAATAAAATAATACAAACAACAATACAATACAGGCATCACTTCATAAAAATCAAATAAGTGAAAACACACAGAAAAAAAAACCTGCGCAAAATGGGAAGAATAAAAAGAGAAGATCATAATTATGGAAAGGAAGTGAAAAATAAACGTGAATATACACAACTACGTGGACACCTTTCTGAACGATAGAAAAGGGAAGACCCTGTACGTTCTGAAAAAATATTTTAAGACAGTGCAGAGCTGAGCCAAAAACAATGATAGTGGACTGTGAAAGACATCAAGATCATGAAAGTTATTATAATAATAATAATAATAATAATAATAATAATAATAATAATAATAATAATAATAATAATAATAATAATAATAATAATAATAATAATAATAATAATGTGGGGTTTTACATCTCGAAGCCACGATATCATTATCGGAGATGCCGTAGTGGTGGACTGCGCCGATTTTCACCATCTGGTGTTCTGTAACGTGCGCTTACATCGCACAATACACGGGCCTCTGCCATTTCACCTCCACCAAAATGCGAACACCACGACCGTGATCGAAACCGCGACCCTGAAGCCCGCAGTCCAGTTCCCTTGCCACTGATCCACCGAGGCGGACATGCTTACAGCACATTATATCGAGAGTTAGTGAATTCTGCCGTTAGGGGGTTTCTGTACCCTTTTAAAGCAAAACACTTGGGCAGAACTGAATAAAAAATCAATATTTTCGAACTATATTGATTTAAGGTTAAATATTGTTGCCGGCTTTCGTGTATGCATAATTTACTTAGGCCCGGGAGAAGAAGGAATATAGCGCTGCAGTATCGCTAAATACTTACTGCTTTAAGAAAACGGACAAACGTATTACTTAAAATAAAAGAACGCCTTCGTCAATGTCATGACCCCGTGATACTAGATGGCGACAACTGTCACCTCAATCTTCAGCTTACAGGCCACTACAACGGCTACATTACAATCGGGGGCGAAGTGCAAACGCTAGTTGGGTTAATGTAAATGCTCGCACCGTAAAGCATTACGAAGAAGTCCAACTAAAAAAAATACGCTATGCAATATGAAAAAAAGGAGCGATGGAAAAAACCAGTGTGATTCACAATTTGTCGTGCCTGCTCATTACGTTAAAGCGTACTTTCACGCGGTGCGTGTTCAGTATGCATGACCTAGCTGCGGGCGTAATAAGCTTATCTAAGTGTTTCTTTAAATTACACGGTGCGACTTAATCGCGTGATAATCAATGGTGACGAAAGATTTTGATTGATTTGTGGGGTTTAACGTCCCAAAACCACCATATGATTATGAGAGACGCCGTAGTGGAGGGCTCCGGAAATTTCGACTACCTGTGGTTCTCTAACGTGCACCCAAATCTGAGCACACGGGCCTACAACATTTCCACCTCCATCAGAAGCTGACGAAAGAGTGATGTGCTTTTTGAAGAACACAAAAAAGTTTTTCCTTAAACACGCAGGCGTCAATAACATTTCACCGAGAGCAGGCGTGTTTTGACTAATTTATGTAACGAAGACCTATTTTTGCTACAGGTGGCTCAAACTTGCGCCGCGCTTACAACCGCACAGAGTAACAACTAAATCGTACATTGAAAATAAAATAACCGATGATTATCATACCACCAATGTGGGTCTTTATAATTTTCTGTCAATTTTGAGATTACCATTGGAACGGGGTCTTCATTTTCAAAGTGGAAATATGTACTACGCACCATATAAACCAAAGGTGACTACAAAACCTAATACTCAAGCTTCTGAACTAGACAATTCTCTAGTCCGGCGACTACTATGTGCATAATTATTTCCCTTTTCAAAGTTTGACGTTATAATGTCTCGTTGTGTCGTTTTCTTGAATAATTTGCAGGCTCTGTAGAACGTGCGCCTTCAGCTGAAAGCAGGATAACGCGGAGCATGCAGTGCTCTCGCCGCAGCCATCTTCGATAATTTATTATTATTATTATTGACAAAAGACGCTCCACATTATTTGCATTTGTGATTCGAGTCCGACTCAAACGGTAGCAAAGAAAAAGAAAAGCGTGGAAAAACGCGCTAGCCTATAGCGGCGCCTATTCAGAAATGTGAATCTAGGAAAAATCGAGGATGTTAACGGCGAGAGCAGCTAGGCGTATTGGTTCTGTCATTGGGGCACAACACTGATCATTTTCGACATCACAGAGTCAGTTTAGTACGACGTTGTCCTATTCATTGCGCGGCTCGCGATCCGTTGCAAACCCACAGTGAACCTTTGAGGTCAGAAAGGTCACTGTGCAGCTGCAGACGAGACGGGACATTTTGAAACGCGCCGTGTTTACCTTGTACCGCGTGTCTGCGACCCACTTTCTGCAGTTCAATACTCCGCAGTGCGAAATCACCTAACCGCTACAACACGTATACTGTCGAAAGGACAAAATTGCTCAGACTGCTTGTAGAAGTTATACGAGGCGCGCACCAGATTCAGCGTGAAATTTCATCCAGCCAGGGGAACGCGAAGCAATATAGGGCACCGTCAGAGTAGCGCATAAGTCACGCCTTTGCAGACAGTCGCCTTTCGAGACAGCGACCCGAGTTGTGTAGATTCAGTCTGCAGTGTGGAAGGAAAAGAAAATCGCGGCAAGAATTTTTTTGCGGTGTATGCGAGCAGTTCGAGAGTCCCAACAATTCCCGATCGTGCCAAGAAAGTATGACGCCCACTTTCGCATTTCTCTCTATAGTATTTCTGTTATTTCATACGCATAAGACGTAGGTGCGCGCACGAAGTCTACATAATCTACACTCCAAGTAGTAAAGGAGGAAGATGGGTATCGAGGTTGATCTTTTAGAGGAGTAACTAACCTTTCGCACCCTTTGAACCATTATGGAAGTAACTCCAAAGGAGTAACCACGCTCTCGTGGTTACTGCTCAAAGGAGCAACAGTTACTTTGCGCAAACGAGAAATCAGGTTTTGATTGACTTAACCAGCCTTTCGAAGTGCGTGCAGGCATTTGATTAGATGTACAATCGATGTGCAAGCATCACATTGAGAAATAAATTTCAGAAAGCAGTTGCGGCAAACACATGGGAGTCGAACTGATGAACACTCAGTCAGCATGCGCGTGTACTAATCACTGCACCACACCACACTACAGCACTGTCTGAAAGAGAACAGGCTTATGTAGGCAGCAATGGGTTATTTGCACACGGCGCGAACGTTCCTGCTGTTAATCAAAATAAAAAAACGAGTGCTTTACTCCACAAGAAGGAAAATGCCCCTCCTTGTCATGCCGTGTGTAATCTTCTGCGCACAGTTACTTTTTTGGAGGAGCAAAAAAGCCTTTTAGGGGAAACTGTGCAGTTCTCCTGGAAAATTTTTTAAAGAGTAATATCAGTGTTGACAATAGTGGGAAGTAAGGAGCTAAACAGAATTACACAGTGCATGGAATCCGCCACTTCTTTTGCGATGATAGCGGGCGATGATAGCGCGCGCCACCACGTCGTCATAATCTGGCGACGCGCGCTCATTGCGCCATCTTGCTGGTAATGCTGGAAACACGATAGTTCGCCCCCGAGACGCCCGTCACCAGCTGTAAGTGGTAAATATTATTAGTTTGCCGTTTGAACGTTGAAGTAGGTGCTCCTTGATGGCTAAGCGGCTGATGACTCACAATTCAGTGGTCCCATGTTCGATTCCGCACACCAGAGTCTTTTTCTGAATTATTTGTCTTTCTTGCATTTTCATATATATATATATATATATATATATATATATATATATATATATATATATATATATATACGGTGAGGCCAGATGGGGGTGTCCGTATGATTGCTGTCGCAATAAAAAATTTCAGCGTAACCACGGAGCGGATGATGGTGAGGTGGGCGAAATTCCAGACGTTTTTCTTCATATAGCTTAAAAGTGTGGCAGCTTGGGCTAGTTGGTATGGCATGACGATAGTTATAGCGCGAGAACAAAACGACGACACAGTGTTCTTGTCTGTGTCGTCGTTTTGTTCTCGCGCTATAACTATCGTCATATCGTCCTCATATAGCATAGGGGCACAACGATTGGTGGGAGGTGCCACCGCCGAATAACGCGACACCTGTGAAAGCGGCATCGGCGATGGCGAGGGGCGCCTGTGGTGAGTGGTGCCATGCGTGAGGGGCGCCGAAAATTGGTCTGAGAGCATGTTTGCAACAGACGCCGTCCGCCAGAACTTAGTGACGTCCAGCTTCACTGCAAAAAGCGCCGTCTTGTGTATACCGACCTGCCCACAGCTTCGTGCACGTGGTAGTGTTGGTTGAACTCATGTCCAGGCCGCATCGTAACAGGAGGACCCGGTTCCGATGTCTCTGCAAATCACGCGAAAACAGATGCACGTATAAGCAGAAGGATTCATTAGATGCAACTTGACGATACTTTGCGTTAATTGTGCTGCAATCGTTTGTGCTGCACGTACGTCGGATATGTATCTTAGTGCGCACACCTCCAACCGTTCAATGATTCACAATGTACAAACTCGTGTTACATCGAGGCTGGGTGAAAGGGTCGCTGATGTGGCTTGGGTAAGAAGTAAGAGCTGGTTTTGCTTGACGGGGCAAGTGCTATTTCGCACCTCCTGGCAACGCCCATGGTTACGACTCTTCGTACAGCTACGTCCACTCAACATTATGAATAAAGATTGCCGTTCTATTATTCCATGGCGTAGCACTGCGAGTATCTTCAATACTGATTGTTGGCCTAGTTGGCACTTGCTTACTGACATGATTTGGCCGCCAATAATACACACACAAAGTAAAGAAACACTCAACGACAAGCACAAGCGGCACTTTCAACTAAAGTAGACCGGGCGAAAATCCAGGCTTAAGTAACAACATACAGACATGCGCAGTCTTCACACAGCCTTACGCTATCCAGCTATCGAACAATCTCTCTTCCGATAAGTACAATGTCACCGACGATTCGCTGATACAATTATCAACTTTCTTTTTAATATAATATGCTTCCATCAACTCACGCGCAGTTTCATGCCTACTTCTACCTAGAATCTTAACCTCGTCAAAACGTGGCACACACCCGCAGGCTTTACAATGCATACGCAAATGCGCCAAGCCATCTTTCATTAAATTTAATTGATGCTCCCTAACCCATTCATTAATACAGCGCCCGGTAGTCCCGATGTACGAGTTGCCACAAGTAGAGGAAATCTCATAAACAACGCCCTTGGCACATTTCCCGTACATGTGCCACGTTTCTTGCCGCATCCCTTATGGCTCGCCTTCACCCCCCGAGCAGTTCTCTGGCACAGATGAGCCAGTTTTACGGGCGCGGAAAAGGCGACAGGTACCCCATACCGGCCTTCTACCTTTTTAAGGTTGTGGGAAACCTTATGAACATAAGAAACCACTGCAGGTCTTACGGTTTCCGTTCCCTGCTCTCCCGTGGCAGATCTAGTACCTTCCCTTTTTCTTTTCCGCAAAAGCGCTTCGAAAACAGCTGTCAATAACGAGTCAGGGAACTTCGCAGCCTCAAGTCACTGGATCTGGTTCTCGAATGATGCCTGCATCATGTGTGTGCACAATTTTTTGAGAGAAGATACCAGGCAGAGAGTAGCAATAGCACGCTTGACTATTTTTGATTGGCAAGAGTCATACTTTAGTTGGAAGTGCCACTTGTGCTTGTCGTTGAGTGTTTCTTTACTTTGTGTGTGTATTATTTCCGGCCAAATCATGTCAGTGAGTATCTACACACAGAAACAAGCAGCCGCGATTATGCGGAATCGAAGAAGTCCAGACAGTGTCCCCCTCCTTGCTCCTTATCATAATCACCATCATCATCATCGTCATTATCATTATCAGCAGCAGCAGCCCACTGCAGGCGAAGGCCTCTCCCATGATCCGCCAAAGAACCTGTCTTGTGCTTTCTGCATCCCCGTTAAACCTGCGAACTTTGTAACCTCATTGGTCCGCCTAACTCTCTGTCTCCCCTTCGTGCGCTTGCCTTTTCGGGAATCCAGTTAGCTTCAACGACTAGAGGTTGTCCTGCCTACGTGCTACGTGCCAGTCCCACGGCCATTTTTTCTTCTTCTCGATTTCAACTATAATATCCTTAACCCCTGTTTGTTCCCTGACCCACTCTGCTCTCTTCTTGTCTACACCTATCATTTTACTTTTCATCGCTCGCTGCATCGTCCTCAATTTAAGCTGAACCCTCGTTGTAAGCCTCCAGGTTTCCACTCCGTAGGTAAATACCGGCGAGACTGAGCTGTTGTATACCCTCCTCTTGAGGGTTAGTGGCAGATTACCATTCATGATTTGAAAATGCTTGCAGAATGTGATCCACCAAATTCTTATTCTTCTAGATATTTCTCTCACCGGCTCCGTGGTTGCTACCTGTTATAAGTAGACATATTCCTTTACAACTTACAGCGCCTCTCTACCTATGGCAAAATGCTGTTTTCTACCGAGATTGTTGCACATTACTTTAGTTTTGTGGATATTATTTTCAGGCATATTCTGCTTTCCGTGTCCAGTTCAGTAATATTGAGCTGCAATTCATCTCATGAGTCACTCATCGAGGCAATGCCATCAGCGAATAACAGGTTATTAAGATAGTCTTTATTAACTTTGATCCCGAACTCTTCCCAATCTAGGACCCTGAGAGCCTCCTGTAAATGCGCGGTGAATAGCATTGGAAAGATCGTGTCTCCCTGCTTACACACTGCTTTATTCGGATTTTGTCGCGTTCTTTATGGAGAACTATGGTGGCTGTGGATCCACTGTAGATGTCTTCCGGTGTGATTATGTAGAGTTCATCAATGCCTTGATTCCGTAGTGCCTGCATTACTGCTGATGTCTGGACTTAGTCAAACACCTTCTCGTAAACTATGAGAGCTATGTATAGGGGTTGGTTGTATTCCGCGCATTTCTCTAGTACCTGAATATACGAACAGCACAACCTAGAAGTAGTTATCACAACCTAGAAGTAGCAATTATCAAGGACAGAAAAGAGCGCTGACTGTTGAAGGTCAGCGTCCTTCTCTGTCCTTGTTTATCGCTTCTTTGGTTATGCTGTAAATACTTCTAGGTTACGCTGTTCGTATATGCAGTTATGTCTTACCAACTTGGCTAAGTTTTCACGCGTCATATCTATTACCCGATTGATAGTATGAATATGGTATATTGTGGAGTAGCCTGTACGAAATCTTGCTTGGTACTTTGGATGATTGAGCGCTAATGTCACCATAATTGTATTAGCTATTTTTGTGAATATTTTGCAAAGAACAGACAGTAAGCTGATTGGCCGGTAATTTTTCAAGTTCTTGACGTCCCTTTTCTTATGGATTAAAATGATGGCATTCTTCCAAAATTTTGGTACCCTTCCCGTCAAGACATACTTCGTATATAAGGTGGCCAGTTTTTCTAACACAACTTCTCCGCCACCTTTCAGCAGGCCCATTGGTAAACTACCCTCACCAGCGGCTTTGCCTCTTTACATTCCTTCTTGGGCTTTCCTTTATACTTCCCCTGTCGTTACTGGTAGGATGTCGAATTCCTCTGGGCTATTATTGCTTCTCACGATATCATCCTGGTTGTTCCCGCTTCTTTACAGCTCTTTCTAGAACTCATCCGCCACCTCAACTGTCCTATTCATATTGGTTACATTGCCTTCCTTGTCGCTTAGTGCATACATCCGACTTTTGCCTACAAGTTTGGCTTCGCAACTTTTAGGCTTTTACCGCTTTTTACGTTCTGATGTTATACCTTCTGATGTGGACTATACCTTAAGCCAATTAACTTCGAAAGCTCTAGCAGGTCAATTTTGTCGGTAGCATTTAAAGCTTTCATGATTTGTCGTCTCTTGATGAGATTTTTCGTCTCTTGAGATAGCTTGCCAGTGTCTTGTCTACAGACTCTACCTCCGAAGTCCATTGCATACTCTTTGATGATACTAGGAAGATTAATGTTCATTGTGTTAACGCTAACGTAGGTTGCCTCGTTTAGAGCCTCGAATCGATTCTGAAGCGAAGCTCTGAATTTCTGTACTTTTCCTCTCGCCGCTAGTTCATTATTTGACTTATTCGGTATATGTTTATGCCTTTGCTTTTTAAAAGCTAGTTGAATACGAGCTCTTACTATTCTATGATCACTGCATCAAATCTTGCCAACTATTTCTACGTCCTGTACGATGCCTGGGTAGGCACGCAGAATGGAGTCTATTTCATTTTAAGTTTCACCATTAGGACTTCGCTCCGTGCACTTACGGTAATCCCGTTTTCTGAAGAAGGTATTCAAGATCCGTAAAATATTAGGTTCTGCAAACTCTGCTAATAACTATACCCTCCGGAACCTCTAGAGCCGATGCATACTCCCCCACTACATGGTTCCCGGTCTGTTTGTTGCCTACTTTAGCATCAAAGTCACCCATCAGAATAGTATACCGTGTCATTACTTCAAAAAAAAAAATGGCTGACTCTACATCTTCGCAGAAGCGTTCAGTGTATGCCAAATCATCGTGAAGGTTAAAAAAAAACGCTGCTGACTGTTGCACCATAACTCAATGCAGCAGATACATACACCTAGAGTGTGTTGCGAATTATTACCCGCATTTATCTTTATTATACCTTAAGCAGTCGTTATTGGCTTTGTGGAAGTAAGTTGAGGGAGCTGTATGATTCTTCGAAATTAAATGTTTTTTGTAGAAATGCATTCAGCGTTTAAAATGCAAATTTCAGTCTAAGTTAAGGAAAAACGCCTCAAAAGAAGGCAGCTCCCCACAAATTGTCTGAAGAAGAGCTGGTTGAAGGAACAATGTCGTGAAACGGCGTGCCCATACTGTGCGACGAAGTGTCGACTTTTTAAAATGCGCTTTTTCTCGTATGTTGGCTGACCAGTGGTTTGCCAGTGTTTGCTGACATTTCATCCACTCATGGAGGATCTAGATATGCAATTGATTGATATGTGGGGTTTAACGTCCCAAAACCACTATGTGATTATGAGAGACGCCGTAGTGGAGGGCTTTGGAAATTTTGACCACCTGGGGTTCTTTAACGTGTACTCAAATCTGAGCTCACGGGCCTACAGCATTTCTGACTCCATAGGAAATGCAGCCGCCGCAGCCGGGATTTGATCCCGTGACCTGCGGGTCAGCAGCCGAGTACCTTAGCCACTAGACCATCGCGGCGGGGCGATCTACATAGGCGAAGGAACTTCCTCCTTCACAGAAACTATAACGTTGCATAGCTCCGTAAATCCATCACCACCCAGACTTCACAGACAGCATCATATATACTGTAGTTCGCAAGCCACTCAGTGCAATAAATAGTTTGTTTAGAGGTGAGCTTGCAATGGCG